GCATCACCTTTTCATTTCATTAAAGTGCATCACTTGCCCTTCCACATTTTACAATTGAAACCCTTAGTAATCTTAAAGGCGTCGTTTGCCCCTTGTTTTCGGACAAATTCAGATGCCGTGTTTCCTCTATCATATAGAATGCATATCCTGTAGATAAAGTTAACTGTCGTCAGTCAACTTTACCTACGAATAGGTCTTTATTTACGACCGACACACAGTTAGGTGATGCCATACGAGGTGCATGAGTAACCACAGGTCGCTCAATTTTTTAGTTCGTCATTTGTACTTGTGCCAGCTGTATCTGCGACATTTCCACGGTGTCTAATCCTACAAATGTTCAATCGAGCTTGCCTTTCAGCACTTTAAGCGGGGCTAGTGTATGTAATTTGTACGGCCTAACCTCTCTACGGTGGATCTATCTCCCCTCCTCTGCGTCTCTGTTTTGACGACGGACCAGCCCCTCCCGACCACGCTGCTCCGACTTCCCGTCCTCGCCAACCCGGCGGGGCTCCTGGTCCAACAAGGGCTACTATAGTAGCTATAGCTATAGTGGCTATAGCCAGCCAGCCAACCGAAAATTGCAGAGCCAGAGTAGTGCACGAGGTTCGTCTTCTCAATAATAAATCACGTCATCACCTCACTGTAATTAAATCTTATTTATTTTCAAATTATATGATCTTCAACGTGACAAATCCGCCAATATCGATTCAGCTCGCCTCCACGTCATCGGTTTAAATAAGCGGATATTAATCCGATTGCAATCGTTCACATACACCTCATCAACAGGGCCTTGTGTTAGACAAATTATTCTATCAAACAACTGTGTGGCAGTGTTTCTATATCTTTTTACCTCACCTGATTTCATGGTGATTGTTGGTGTTTCATAAGTTTCCTACTTATCTGGTCTTTAGGTTGATGTTTAATTCAATGATGGTCCGACTCCCTACATTACTAACTACGTCTTTGTGGTCTCCGTCACTAAGTTCCCATTTCCGGACCTTAAAAACTTTCTCCTACGATCCCTTTTACATTGTAATGATACTTTTTGCAAATAATAGACTTCTAGAGTTTGAAACCATCAATACCTGTTTGCCCGACTATTCAGTTATGCCTCAAGGGTTACGACTTTCCAGTTTTGGAGCGTTACGAAAAGTATGCAAGGTTTGCTCTTGGGAAGTGGTCGAAAAACGTTACCTCGTAAGTTGTCATGTAACTAGCTATAGCCATCTTTCTTTTAGCTTTCCGCTTCCTCCTAAGAAGACGATGTATAAGACGTACCATCCTAGTTCAACCAAAGCTAAAGCTGAATTCGAATTGAGCAAGTATTGCCGTATTGTTAGGGTAAAAAATAAATCCTAAAATTATTTTTAGGTTAGCGGTATAAAATCAGTAGACCTCCCGATAATAGTTGACTTATTGCAACAGAATCTTCCAGAGGGTATTGAGATGGTTCTGCAAGAGGTAAGTGATCCTCTTCGTATCTTTTAAACCTCACTAACTATTACCGTTTAGAATGACCCTCAGCTGGAGGAATCGCGTTATGTTGCGAATCTCGAAATGGAAACTCTCCAAAGCGAGCTGGAAAAATTGACCAAATAGTTGTTGGTTGTATAAAGTCATTCTGTATCCAGTTATAAACTGGTGATTGTACATACTTCTGTCAGTACCCCTAATTTCAAATCATGCTTTTGATGGCGTCTTTTGTCGTTCTGCTTCATTTCCATTACAACGAATGTTTAAGTTACATTTTCGATAGTTGTCTAGACTATGTATGTTCAATTCAAACTTGATTTAGCGTGATAAGACTTATTCTGGCCGCCATAACCAAGCTCAAAAATTGTAGTCGTTCGTGCCCTTCATTCTGTCCCACTTGTTCTGTCTATATACACCAAATGTCTTTTCTAACTGGAAACACCCGTCACTGAAGGTTTAAGATCCACCTCGATATGTCTATTAACTCGATCTTAACATTTTATCATAATTGTATTTTCAAGTAACACGATCACCTTACACCGGTGTCAGTGAGTAGACGGATGACGAAATCTAAGTCCACCCGAACCGAGTCAACTATGTTACCCGGCCGGTCTAGGGTTTGCTCCCTGTATCATGTCATCGGGTGAAAACCATCTAACTAGAGGTGGATTGTGTACCTCACTCCTAGCGTAGTTTACAGGCAGAAGTGAAACACCGTCCAAATCTCACAGTTATGAACACGTCTTTTAAGTGGTCGCGTTATCCTATTCATTTTGTAAACACCTCGGATGGCCCGCAAAAACCCGACGATTAGTATTGATCCAGAAGATAATTTAATTTCTTCTGAGAACGCACTGTGTGCTCCGAGGTGGTAACGGCTATCCACAGAGGTTTTCTATCCTGATCGGGACTGCCGTTGGAAATAGGACATCAGTTTTTTTACTTCTTTATAGTACTAATTGTCGAACTGCCAGTTGTTTTAAAGACGTGAGTTGCGTACTTCTAGAAAATGATGCGTTGGAATGCCTATAGCTGCGCTCCTATAGGTTAGTCACATGCATCGAGGAACGCGATGCAATGAGGTTAAATTTTAAAATGCTGCACCGGATAGTTGGACGAAAATGTTTGTACGTCTGTAAGGTGTTTTCGACGCCTGTACAAATAGCTGGCTCGATAACTGACCATATGATCTTATCTGACTCATCTTCTTTGTTCACCTTTGGGAGTCTATAAGCAGTTGAGATGCAGATATAACCGGAAGTCGGACTCAGCCTCATCGGAATTATGCGTTTCGCTTGAGCGAACTGTCACCTTTTTATTGTTAGCTGCGGCCAAGTTTGTCATTACATGTAGAAACTGAATATGAGCTTGCCTGTCTTTGAAGACTGTTTGCTCTGATAGCGGGCCCGGAGCAAAGGCTTGTGTGTTACTTTACTTGAAGAGATGCAAACCTGTGCTTTTTGTACCTCAGTATCACTGTCGCTATGTTTCGATAAAC